AAATGTTAACAGTCCTTAGGATCTTTCTCCTATTTTTCAATAGTCCATTGGCAGTCGTTTCTGGCCCAGCAAACCATATTTAAGTATTATAGTCATTTTGTTTTTGTGTTCTGTGGATAAGCTCACAGTTTGCACTGAACTTCAGGAGCTGAACATCTTATATAGTACCATTTTTCTCTGGCTACTATACATGACAGCTTCCTTTCACTGTCAGTGGTTGTTAAAGAAGCAGTGTGTGCTTCGTCATTTGCAGCCAAATGTTACCTAGCTTAATTTATTTGATATGAACAAAGGGGCAAGATAGGGGCTGACATCATTGCCAAAATAGGTCCACATGGCCTTATCTGGTCAGTGACATCATTGGGTATATTCTGCCCCTTTTGTTTGCATTCTTGACTACAGTTTTATTTTCAAAAAGGTGCTTCCTTATTCCAATGAGCTGCCCACCTACAAATCCCCCACGGACCAGGCTATATATTTTTAGGAAAGAGGCCTTTTCCTCATCAACAAGGGCACAAAATGCTTTGCTAGGGGTTTCTCCCCAGGCAAAGTACCCCCCCCCCATGCTGAGGGCATGTGGCAGGTATATTTTAGAAAAGGGGGAAAACACTCAACTCCGTTTTCCTGGTCTGCCAGGATGCATGCTCAGATAAGGGTACCTATGCTTTTTTTTGTAGGGTTTCCCTTAAAATTCATAGAATTTGGGGGCCCCTTTTTTTCTTTTTTTTTTTTTTTTTGCTTTAGAGCCCTCTTGACATCCACATAAGACCTCCATCAGATGATCTTAACTCATAAATGAACACACTGTCTCAAGGCCATTGGTTTGCAGAATATTTGATAAAAGTGAAGAGACATCCAAAGTTATTCAAATGTAATCAGGGGGCCAGTGGAAACTTTTCAGTTTTTTTGAGTAGATCTGAAGTATCTTTGAGATATGAGGGGAGATGTTTCACAAACCAATGTTCTTTATTTAGACATTGGACTGAATGAAAAAATAGAACAGTTTCCTCCATGCCCACAAATAGGGTGGAATGAGTAATCACCTCCCCACCACACTCTTTGCTGTCAGAATATATTGATCAGTATCTGCATCAGCATCTGGATAACTTAAGTTATCCAACATTCTACTTTAATAGAAGTCGATCAAACAATTGACTTCTGTCAGGTGGGACCTGACACCTACTGATTGATATTTAGCTGGTCCCTGCTGAACTGGCTGAATATTGGTTCATCTATAAACAGCTTTATTATCAGAAATAATAGGTCATCCAGGTGGATTAGATAAACATTTATGAACCTTGGGGAAAAGGTAAAAGTATGGTATGTTCCTTTCAAAGCCATATAGCGCCATCAATTTATGCAGTGCTTTTACATATATATTGTACATTCACATCAGTCCCTAACCCTCAAGGGGTGTACAATCTAAGGTCCCTAACTTACATTCATACATACACATACTGGGGCCATTTTAGACAGGATCCAATTAACCTACCAGCATGTCTTTGGAGTGTGGGAGGAAACCCACAGGGAGAAAATGCAAACTCCAGGCAGGTGGTGCCATGGTTGGGATTCAAATCAATGACCCTAATACTGCCAGGCAAAAATGCTAACCATTTAGCCACTGTGCTGCACAATATGTTCCTTATAGAAGCTGTTGGTGGGATCAAATTCCTACACTATGTAGTATGTTTTATCTTCTAGAATTCTCTTCACTTCCTGGATATATTCTGATCTGTCTTGATTGATGATCCTGCTGTCCTTATCGGCATGCCTAATCATGATATTCAGGTTTTCCTTGAGGGTTCTTATAGCATTACTTTCTCCTTTTGGTTAAGTTGAATACCATTGGTTCTTTATCTCATAATATTATTGAATCCTTCATTCTTGGGCGGCAGCACAGTGACTAAATGGTTAGCACTTCCGCCTGGCAGTACTAGGGTTGTTGGTTCGTATCCCAACCATGGCACAACCTGCCTGGAGTTTGCATGTTCTCCCTGTGCCTGCGTGGGTTTCCTCTGGGTACTCCAGTTTCCTCCCACACTCCAAAGACATGCTGGTAGGTTAATTGGCTCCTGTCTAAATTGGCCCTAGTATGTGTATGTATGAGTGTGAGTTAGGGACCATAGATTGTACACCCCTTGAGGGTTAGGGACTGATGTGAATGTACAATATATATGTAAAGCGCTGCTTAAATTGACTGCGCTATATAAGTACCTGTAATAAATAAATAATGAATAAATAAATTTCACCACTTAAGGACCAGGCCTTTTTGGCCCCATTCACACTTGAATGTTTTGAAGTGCCAAGCTCCAAGCTTCAAAACACCCAGGGGCAAAAAAATCAATATTGCTATATGGAGATGGTTCACATCTCCACTCCAAGTCGCCTGAAGTTAAAAAAAAAATTTGGAGCTACTTTTGTAGCCCAAATTGGGCAAATTTGCATGGTTTTGGCGTGTTCTTATTCCCATAGAAAAGAATAGAAACACGCAATTGGCACATTTTTGCGCACTTTTGCGCATTTTAAGCAATCTTCTGCTCAAATAAAAAGACATTATTTTAATTTATTTGTATATTTATTTTACATTTATTACTTTTATTATTATTATTATCATCATCATCATCATTAATATTAACGTCTTTTTTTTGTTCGGGTTTAGGTGTTTATTATTATTAATATTATTAGTATTAATAATAATACTTTGTTTAATATATTTTTTAAGGGTTAGGGGGTTAAGGTTATTATTACATAGTATTTACTTTTGATTATTTTTATTTACTTGTGTATTTATTTATTCATTTATTATTAACAAAAAAAATATTTAAATAAATAATAAGAAAATAATAAATAAAATACTAACCCCAACCCAAACCCTAACCCCTAATCCTAACCGTAACCTAACCTTAACTCTAACCTCTTACCCTAACGAAAGACAAAATAATAATAAATGAATAATATTAATAGTAAAAATAATAATAAAAAAACTAAAAGCTGATAGAAAAACCTAGCAACAAATGATGCAACAGGTGATATTTTTCTCTATTGGCTATTAAAAAAGCCAAAGCTCAAAAATGGCTAAAAACGCTGTATGAAAATGTGCAAAAAACCTGGTAAAATCACAGTAAAATATGCGTGAAAAACGCTACACTCAAGTGTGAATGGAGCCTGACACTTTTTGTAAAGTAAAAGTAAGCAAAAATCTGTATTTTTTGCTGGAAAATTACTTAGAACACCCAAACATTATATATTTTTTTAGCAGAGGCCCTAGAGAATAACATTTCAGTCATTGCAATTTTGTATGTCACACGTTTTTGCGCAGCAGTTTTTCAAATTCTATTTTTTTGGATAAAAAAACCCCACATTTTTTGGGTAAAATATGAAAGATGATGTTACGCTGAGTAATTACATACTTATAACATTTGTACAGGTTACAGAGTTACAGAGGAGTACAAGAATTATTGCTCTTGCTCTGATGTTCGCGGTGTGGTGCGAATACCGTTTACCTATGTGGCCGTGACGTATGTATGCGTTCACCACTGCGCATGAGCACGGGGATTGGGGGCACTTTAAAAGTATTATTTTCTTGACCGACTCCATGGCAACATATGTATGGGTTAGTCCCCCCTCTCCTCTTCTATAGGACCCCAATCCCATAAATCTTTGCTGCTCACCAGAGGCCGTGTTCATTTTTTGTGCTCCTCCTTTGAACCTAGTGCAAGCCTTACCTGGTTGCCGCATACAAGATGATCCGTGACCAAGGCCTGGCAAGCCTCTCCGGAAGATGTGAGGTGTCCCGCTGCTTGTCAGTTCTACGGGTTCCCAGCTAAAGGCGAGGTATTGTATGCAGCGGAATGGATGCGAAGATGTGTCCCCTTATCAATTCCAGCATTACCCAACTACTAGCGGGGTAGAAATGGACAAGCAGGAGATGGTGCCTGGAAGAGCTGAAGTCTGCCAATGGTGGGCGAGTGGCAATTTGGGCCGGAGAGCCTGCTAACAGCGGATGGCCATGTAGGGCCCTGAGCGGACAAGGTGGTATCCGAGGCAGCTGCAGGGTTAAGCGGTGCTCTGTGCCCCCATTCATGTCTCATTTTCCCCTTTTCTTTGCTGTTCTATACTGCTAATGGGTGGCTGGAGAGCACTATGCATGTGCGAGCTGGCCTCAGAACGAGGCTTGGCTTCACGCATGCACAGTACAGCAAGATGGCGGCATGCGCACAAGCATCACGGGTTCCGGTGCATGAGCAGAATGGAGGCAGTGACGTCATAGCTCTGGCGGCAGATTTAAACAGCTGTCAAATCTGTTTTCTTTGGGAAATCTTGTAGGATGAATGCTGCAGCTTTCCCAAGCACTGTGGTCCACTGCAAAGGTCAGTACCTGCTCCCTCCTGCCCCACCCCCCGTCTGCTGGGATTCTGCATGTCATGGTTTTTTTTGCAGCTTGGTTGCCTTCACAGCTGACCCAGCATGGATGTGTCACCACCTCCTTGTGGCCAGCCCCTGCGGACAGGTGACTTTATCCTCTTGATCCCCCCACTGGCGCCCTATTGTGGCTTTTAACTACCGTATTTTCTGGCGTATAAGGCAACTGAGTGTATAAGACAACCCCCTAATTTTCCAGTTAAAACATAGGTTTTGGGCTATACTCGTCGTAAAAGACTACCCCCCTTCTGAGGCAACACTATTTAACCCCTAGCCTACAGGGCACTTATACCCACTTCCCCCCCCAAGCCAATTTTCAGCTTTCAGCGCTGTCACACTTTGAATGACAATTGCGCGGGTCATGCAACACTGTACTCATATGAAATAGGTGGCACTGATGGGCACTGATGAGGAGGCACTAGTAGGTGGCACTGATGGGCATTGACAGGCATCACTGATGGGCACTGAAAGGCAGCACTGATACATGGCACTGATAGGCGGCACTGACTGGCACTGTTAGGTGGCACTGACTGGCACTGATATGCAGCACTGATGCGCACTGATAGGTGGCACTGACTGGCACTGATAGGCGGCACTGACTGGCACTGATGGTGGCACTGATGGGCATTGACACGCATCACTGATGGGCACTGAAAGGCAGCACTGATACATGGCACTGATAGGCGGCACTGACTGGCACTAATAGGTGGCACTGATTGGCAGCACTGACAGGTGGCACTGATTGGCATTGATAGGTGACACTGACTGGCACTGATGGGTGACACTGAAAGGCAGCTCAGATGGGCACTGATATGTGGCATTGATGTGCACTGGTAGGCACTGATATGTGGCATTGATGTGGCACTGATGGACACTGACAGCTGGCACTGATGGACACTGACAGGTGGCACTGCTGGGGCTACACTGATCATCAGGGCACACTGATCATCAGTGCCCTGATGATCAGTGTACATGTCCCCTCCGTGGAAAGCCGATTACCGGCTCTCCTCTGCTCTGTCAGCGTGACAGCTCGAGAGGAGAGAAATGCCGATAACCAGCATTTCCCTGTTTACATGTGATCAGCTGTGATTGGACACAGCTGATCACATGACTGAGCCGACATCTTTGGCTGTTTCCGTAATCGGTGATCCGCTGTGTCCGAGGGACACAGCGCATCGCCGTGCATGCGCGAAGAATGGGAGGGCGTCATATGAGCCAATCATGGCAAGTGATGTATTCTATTAATGAATACAGAGCCTGCTCGGATTGGCTGCGTCAGAGAGGCGGGCTGATGATGTCACAACTTTAGCCAATCCGAGCAGGCTCTGTATTCATTAATAGAATAAATCGCTCGCCTTGATTGGCTCAGCGCGGTACACTGTATGTAGCTGAAGCTACCATACAGTATTACCGCACATCCAGCGGTTCTATACCCAATTGTTGTGGTATGTTTTTAAGTAAAAAAAGTTGTCTTATACGCCAGAAAATACGTTATTTCCTGTTCTGTGTTTTTTTTTCAGCTCTTCTAGGTCTGATCAGCACTATACAGCACACGATGATGGAGGTGCTTCCAGGTCTCTACCCCAGCAGTCTTCCTCTAGATCCGAATGCCACAGGTCTCCTTGAAGTTCCAGGCATCACAGGAGAAGTTCTCGTTCCTCCTTCAGGCATCATGTTAAGAGGCACTCCAGCAGGAAAACTTGCTGGGGGTGTGAAACTCAGTTTCCTGAGGACAGGTCATTATGTGACTTCTGTTTTGCATGGGCAACTGGCGAGAGAGAAAGTACCAACCAACAGGTAGAGGCTTTGGTTAGATGGGTCGTTCAAGAGTCCCTGACGGAAAGTGGGACTAGTCGTGCCCGCAGCCCATCGGTTAGGGTGTGCTCCCCTTCCAAAGAGCCCCAAGAGGGATTGGACCCTTCACAGCCTAGTCACCTGTCAGCCAAAACCTCAGACAGGCGGAGAGTGAGGATCTGTGTGTGGGCTTCGACTTCGCTTTGGTCTCGCCCTTAGTCAAAGCAATCAAAGAGGCCCTGAGGTGGGAAGGAGCTGTGGAGTCGCCTCCTAAACACAGGAAATTCTTTAAACATCTAATAAAGGATCATCCAAGAAAATTTTCAGAGGAGTGGAGCAATGTCAATAAGAGGGCTTCCTTGCTGAACAAAGCAGCCAAGCTTTATTCATTCAAAGCATAGAACATCAAACATTTAGAATCGGCCCCCCTCTAGTGGATGCAGCCCCGATGAGGCTAGCCAAGCTTGTTACCCTTCCTCTCGAGATTCGGTGTCCTTCAAGGACAACCTGGAAAGGAGAATCGATTCCAATCTCAAGTGAATCTACACTACAGAAGAGATGGCTTGCAAGTTAGTACTTGCCTTTGTGGCCTTATCCAAAGCTATGGAAGTGTGGTCGGATAACATGGATGCAGCCCTCAGGAGTGCCAGAAGGGGTGGCCAGTAATTCAGCCATCCAAAAACTGAGGTTGGCATCTGCCTTTCTGGGGGAGGCCTCGATCAACCTTACCCGTCTGCTGGCTCGGGTTATGCTGTCCTCTGTTACAGCCAAATGTGCATTGTGGCTGGATGTCCTGGATGGCCAATCCGCCGGCCTCTAAGCAGGCATGATGCAAGATCCCCTTTGAGGATTCTTCCCTGTTTGGGAATAAACTGGACAGAACTATAGCCCAGGCTATAGGTAGGAGGTCCGGTTTCTTGCCCCAGGATCAGTGTTTGCTAGAGCAGAAGAGGGCTTAGCCCAGAAGTCAAGGCTCGGAATGAGCTAGGGATGCATGCCTCTACAAGCCAGGCCACAAATTCAAGAGAAGCTGGAGGAGAAGCCGGTCATCTTTTCAGAAGTCCTCCAAGGGCTTGACCTCTGGAGGTTGTGAAGCCACAAAGTCCTTTTGAGATTGGGCCCACTCAGGCAGGCCAGGTGGGGGCATGCCTTTGCCATTTTCGGCAGGTCTGGCGGCTTCAATCCGGGCCATCTGGGCCTTCAGCACGGTATCTTTAGGGCATGCTTGGGCGTTCAAGAACCCTCCTCATCTCAAGTTTACCCCTTTAGCCCTTCCACATTCCGGAGAAAAGAGGAAAATCCTGCTGTCCTTCATGGACTTTCTGCTGGCGCAGGGTGCTGTCTTGCCTGTTCCGGAGGGCGAAGAATTTCAGGGCATGTATGCGCCCCTCTTTTTGGTCCAGAAAAGAAACGGGGCCTGGAGGCCTGTCATAGAGCTCACCCATCTAAACTCCTTTATCAGGAAGTCAAAATGCAAGATGAAGACGCTGTTCACAATTCAACAAGCAATGCAACCGGGCAACTGACATCTGTGTATAGATCTAAAGGACGCCTACTTTCGTATGCCCATACCCAACCAGAGGTCCCTCCGGTTTGCTGTGGACCAATGACATCTCTGTCAAACACCACCTGGCGGTACCTCTAGTGATCCACAGGACAGGATTCCCCAGGGCGCGGGGTCTAAGTCCCAGTCTGCTTGTTCACCAGGGCCCCTGATGGTGGAGATGGACTTGGAGCAGACAGTGACCAGGTCGCGGCCCCTGAGTACACCCGCCTGTAGTAGAGAGATCCACCAGAGTTATATACTGGAAGAGAGCCTGATGTGAAGAGGCGGATATGCCTGAGCAGCAGTGACCGGATCCGTGCAGGATGAACAGATGGATGGCAGGGTAGTGTAGCGTAGTCAGACAGGCTGGGTCGGTAACAGTGGGGACAGCACGGTACAAAGCAGCAGACAAAGAGTAGTCGGGTCACACGCCGGGTTCAGTAACAGGAGGTCAGATAAATAGGGATATGCAGGAGAGTAGTCAACGAGCCAGGGGTCAGAGCAGGAGATAGTCAGCAAAAGTCAGGATCAAGCAGGGTCGGCAACAAGATCAATCAGCAGGAACACAACGAGCAGGAACAGGATAATAAGACTACGGCAACTTGAGTCTGTGCAGGGCTGGTTTAAATAGTGCGCCCTGCACTGTCATTGGTGCCAGGCACGCGTCCGCGATTGCGAGTGCGCATGCGTGGCCGCCGCAGCTGCCTAGGTCCTAATGCCTGCCGATTAGAGTGCATTGGCATTCTGCGCATGCGCAGACCCTTGCACTGCCACGACTGCTGACATTGCCCCCCCCTACGGGCATCCTCCGGATGCCCAACTGATCTCTCCTCTGTGGGTGGTTGCGACAAAACTCTTGGACAAGTCTAGGGGTGTGAACGTGAATTCCCATGAATTCTCCTCTGGACCATAACCCTTCCACTTAATAAGGAATTGCGTCTGGCCGCCCCTTTTCCTACAATCTACAATTGCTTCTACTTCAAATTCTTCTTCTTCGTCAATGGTTACGACCTCCGGGGGTCTGGACCTCCGATCTGGAAAGGGATCTGCTGTTGCTGGCTTTAGTAACGACACGTGGAAGACCGGGTGTATCTTAAAGGTTTCGGGAAGTGTGAGTTCATAAGCCACTTCATTAATCTTCCGTTTCACCTGGAATGGACCCATAAACTTTGGTCCCAATTTCCTAGAAGGGCATGACATCTTTAGATTAGTCGTAGCTAACCAGACCTGATCCCCCGGTTGCAGGATTAGTTTGCCTCTTCTTCTGTCAAAAGCCCTTTTATTATCCTCCTGGGCCTTCGCAATTGCTTCTTATAACACTTTGTTGTTGGCAGAAAAAAAATTCAGCATATCTTGTGCAGCGGGAATCAGACTTTCTGGGATCAGGCAAAAACGCGGGATGGAACCCGTAATTAGTGAAAAATGGGGATTGCCCGGTAGATGAATGATTTGTGTTATTGTACGCAAATTTGGCTAATTCGCAAAAGCGCCAGCCAAATCGTCCTGGAGAAAACGAAGTATAGCATCTGAGATACTGTTCCAACGTCTGGTTCGTCCTTTCAGTCTGTCCATTTGTCTGTGGATGGTATGCGGATGAGAAAGAAAGTCTGATTCCTAAGACTTCGCATAGAGCTCTCCAAAACTTCGATGTGAACTGGACCCCCCGGTCTGAGACAATGTCTTCTGGAATCCCATGAAGTCTTACAACTTCCTTCACAAAGATTTGTGCCGTCTCCAGAGCCGAGGGCATGTTTCTTAATGGTAGGAAATGGGCCATTTTTGACAGGTGATCCACGATCACAAAGATTGCCGTGTGATTTTGAGAAGGTGGGAGCTCCACTGCAAAATCTATGGAGATCATTTGCCATGGCCTGTCAGGTATGGGCAATGGTCGTAGTAAACCCCAGGCCTTGCTTCTGGTGGACTTGTTCCTCTTGACAAATGGCGCAGGTCTTCACGTATAGTTCACAATCCTTGGCCATACCCGGCCACCAGAATGTACGCTGTAATAACTCTAGGGTCTTATATGCTCCAAAATGACCTGCCAATGGATGGTCATGGCAGTAGCCCAGAACTAAGGTACGGACCTCCTCGGGTACCACGATCTGTCCCTCTTTCCAAAAAAGACCCTCCTTGCTCTGCAGGGAAACCCCGGGTGGGTTTGGCATTCCTACAGATGCGGTCTGTAACTTGGAAAGTAGTTCGGTTTGGAGGGTGAGAAAATTTCCAGTAGACAGAATGGTGTCTGGTTTAGGGACCTCTTCCGGGTCCTCGAACATGCGCGAGAGAGCATCAGGTTTAATATTTTTGGATCCAGGTCTATCAGTTATATGAAACATGAATCTTGAAAAGAAAAGTGCCCATCTAGCCTGGCGTGGTCTCAGGCGCTTGGCTGTCCTCAAGTATTCTAGGTTTTTGTGGTCTGTGAAAATCAAAATTGGATGCGTAGCCCCCTCCAGCAGGTACCTCCACTCTTCCAGTGCTGTCTTGATAGACAAGAGTTCTCGATCCCCTATGTCATAGTTCCTCTCTGCTGACGTGAGTTTTCTTGAAAAGAACGCTACTGGATGTATGAGTTCTTTGGTACCCCTTCTCTGGGACAGGACGGCCCCCACTGCGTTCTCAGACGCATCTACCTCCAATATATAGGGTAAAGAGGAATCTGGGTGGCTTAGAACAGGGGCTGTGGTAAATAATTCCTTTAGGGCCTCAAATGCCGTCTGTGCTTCTGGTGTCCACCGGAAGAGAGCCCCCTGCTTGGTGAGCTGGGTGATGGGAGACACGAGACCCAAAAAGTTCCTAATGAGCTTCCTATAGA